ACCGCACACGCCCGCTTGGCACACGCAGCGCCCACTTGGCCAGGCCGCTTCTCGGCGTTTTGGAGTACTGCAGTGTGCTGCCATGCCTGACGGGCTGTGTCATCGATTGTCATCCCTTGCTCGCTACCGTCGGTCCGCTGTCATGAAAAAAATGCCTCGCAGTCTTTGAAGGAAAGAGGCCACCCATCCATGCTGGCATCACCCCGACGCACGCCTCCGAGGATGACACACCGTACTAGTAAGTCCCCCGGCGTCCCAACCGTGGGACGACCATGTCAGAGGCAGCGGGGGTGGAGGGAGCAGCCTCCTCCTCCTTCTCCCTTTCCTCCTCCTCCCCCTCCTCCCTATTCTCATCCTCCTCCTCCTCCTCCTCCTCCTCCTCCTCGTCGTCCTCCTCGTCCTCCTCCTCCTCCTCCTCGCTCCTCATCCTCCCTCCTCCTCCTCCTCCTCTCTCCTCCTCCTCCAACTCCTCCCCCTCCTCCTCCTCCTCCTCCTCCTCCTCCCTCCTGTCCTGCTCCTCCTGCTCCATCCTGCTCCTCCTCCTCCTCCTCCTCCTCCTCCTCCTCCTCTCCTCCTCCTCGTCCTCCTCCTCCCTCCTCATTCTTCTCCTCCTCCTCCTCCTTCCTCCTCCTCCTCCTCTCCTCCTTCTCCTCCTCCCTTCTCCTCCTCCTCCTCCTCCTCCTCCTCCTCCTCCTCCTCCGCACATGAGTGCTGCAGTTCGCCGCACGTTGGTGTAATGTCTCGTTGCAACATGTCAACAGATGGGGGCTCACGGACTACTTATTTCACCGAAGTCTGTGGTAGTCTGCGCTATGCTGATCAACGCCAGGGACGTTGTTAGGCGTGTCCGCGCAAGAGGTTTTCAATTTCGCGCGGCGACCCATGCGCCATACCTTGGCGGAGATTTCGGCGGTGGCACTCGGCACGCACGCGCTTGCAGGACAGCCAGGACCAGCAAGCATGTCAAGATGCATGCCAAGGTTGTGCGCTACGCTAAGACAGCTAGGCGCTACCGCCGGACAGCACGGCTGGAAGGACCAGCAGGGCGCTTCGGCAGCTGGATCGTACGGCCACCAACTTTACGGGGTCTTTGGCAGGAATATGCAGAAGATACGGAGTTTGTAGCGCGACGCACCAGCCCCAAGGCTCACGGGGCGATGTGTTACGACACTTCTGGATATAGTGGCTCCTGGACGTGACCCACGAGTGCGCATGCCAAGGAAATGCTTTCAACGTTGGCTGCGAGCCTGGATCTCGCAACCGGCCTTGCGACCGGGAGTTTGGCACTCTTGGCAGACTCTGGTTCACGAATTGCAACATACACCCTTATATCTTCGGGGCCTTCATGCGCGTGGACCGCAGAGTGCAGTCATTCGCTACCTGCCGGAGGAAGGTTGGGGGCCTACAGGACCAGCGCAGTAGGATATGCCACAGATTGACAGCACGGTCCAGTATACATGGCAGTTCGACGTCGGCAACCTGATTGGACAACCTGAACTGGATATCCCTTCATTCGCAAATTCGAAGAGACCATCATGCGACGGCAATGGAGATTGGCAGCTAGTCATTTCGACGAGGGCATGCAGGATGGCATGTGCAACGTCCCTTTGAGGGCACTGCTGAGGCAACTGCGAGAAGGGCCCGGCAGAGCACGGCTGGCAGGGCTGCTGCTGGTCACGGCGGCTGAAGCGACATAACCAAGGGCACACAGCTCCGCAAGATCTAAGCAAGTCTGAAACACCACATGCTCGCGTCGCCGACAGGAGCCCGAGACATCCCTCCATCGCTTCTGGACCTGCGAAGGACATGGCGACCACGAGTCGCAGATTAAGTGTCGCAAGCTCTCGCTCGACGTGACTCCGAGGCGTGCTCGTGGCTGCGAGGGCCCTTTGCCCGCCTCGTGGGTACGGATGCCAGCTTGGAGCTGTGATGGGCTGGGCGCTTCCGGGCCAGGACCCCTCGGCCACGGAACTGAGAGCCGTCCACTTGTCATGTTCGGAGACCCGAGTGATGGGGCCGACAGCAGGGGCAGCAGGCTCCGCAGAGTTGGAGTCGGACCGGCGGTCCGCACCGAGCTGCAGGAGCCGACGGAGGCGTCGCGCGCGCGATCCGGGGGGGGGGCCTCCCCGG